TCACCATTAGTACGTTTAACACCTGATGCTGATGAATACTCTACATTATTTTCCACTTGAAGTTTCGATAACCACTTTTCAAATTCTACAAATTAAATTAATTTACTTTACATATATATACTCCTATATACTTAAAATATTATAAAATCTACTCACCATCCTTTTCTCCAAATATGAGTTTCTTTTAATCAATTTCCATATTATGTTTAATAGACAAATGATTTCTAAGGTCCTTATTGAATCTAAAGGACATTTGGCACCCTTCTAAACACTTAAATAAATAAACTTTGTGGGGATATGTTATAGTTAATTCCTGGTTTTTATCAGGATGAACTTCTTTTGTAAAATGGAGTTATTTCAACAGCATATGACTTATCAGGGCCAAGAGATGGACGTAACGGTAGACAGAGAAACTTACATTAAAATAAGCAGTGGTAATATATACTTTGTTTTTGTACCTTTCCTTAAAGAGCTGTAACATCTATTTATTTAAGAATTGGTTAACTTAACGTTTAACTATGTTAACACTGTGTTTATTTTTTTTTATATTCAGAGAAACTAAATCGATATGCAAAACAAGTGTATGAAGCCCTTCCTAATACAGAAACAGAAAATAATTCACACAGTTTTGCACAATGCTCACAAACCTTTCGTAACACAGAAAAAGAAAATGATTTACAAGTTTCTGGAGAATGTTCGCAAGATAACATCCGATGGAACCACAAAAGTACAATGCTTTTAGCAGAACTTAGACTAACCAGAGAAAGTGAATTTAAACGTCCAGTATGTAAAAAAAAAGAAATTATGGAATAACATTGCTACACGGAAAAAAATGTGACTAGAAAATTTTACTACAATGTTGTAGTAGTAGACTTGTAGAAAAATACTTAACAATTTGTAGAAAATTTTACTACAATTTATAGTTAAAAACTATTAATTATTGTAGCAATTGAATTGTCGAATAAAATGCTACAACAATAGGAAAGAAGTCCACAATGTTTAGTATATTTTACTATTGTTTGTAGAAGTAGAAATTTATTACAATTATCGTAATTACTACTACTAACTTCTGTAAAAATTTGTACAAATATTAATAATTATCTCTACAAAAAATAGTAATTTTCTCTACAAAAAATAGTAATTTTCTCTACAAAAAATAGTAATACTTTACATCCCTTCTTCAAAAATATTCTATAATATTGTAGAAATTCTAAGTCATGTGAACAAAACAGAATTCTGCTATTGGCCAACGTTTTCTGACGTCGATCATAAACGGCCAGACAGCAGTAGCCGTTCGCCATGTTCACATAACAAAGCATGGTACATATACGAGTACCTATAACACATTATTATATTATAAGCACCGATGCGTTTGAGAAAATTTTAATAATAAATTCTATTGGTGGTAAGTACATTTATTATTGTTTCTGAATAATTTACCTTTAGATAACTAATTTAAATAACCTTAGTAGATTATTTTAAAAAAATAGTTGTGGCCAACGATCGAATGTTGTGCCCAACGATCGAATTTTTTGCCAAGTTCAATGATGTTTTTTGTCTTAATTGTGACATACCTACTTTCTCATTTTTGTTAGTTATCTGACTTAGTCATTTAATATCCAAATCAGTGTAAAGGTGATAAATATCCCCGTTTTAAGGGTATGAACAATTCAATTGGTATTAATTTTTATTTCATATTTTTCAGGTGCAGAAAAGCCAATTGAGACTGAGGGCGCTATTATTACTGTTATTTATTACATAATGTAATTAAGAATTTGTATCTTTTATATTAAAACAATAAATTGAATATTTTATTAAGGAACATTTTTTTCTAGGTTATAATTATAATAATTATGGAATACTACTACAAATTTTATTTAAAATTACTACAATTTGTATGAATTTGTACTATTTATTGTGTAAAATTTTCGTATTTATTTTCATAAAACGCAATACATTTTTAATATAAATTCATACAATGAATAGCAAAAATTATAACAATTTGTAGAACAATTCTTATGATGCATTTGGATCTTTTTACTAAATATTGTAGATAATTACTCTACAATACATTCTCCACAAATATTTGGACATTTTTACTACAAATTGTCCCTGTCCCTATATGTACTATTTATTGTAGAGAAAAAATCTACAATTGTAGAAATTTGTTCTACAATTTTTTTTTTCGTTTATAGAAATGAACAAGCAGGGATACTATGTAACTGGAGACATGTGCGATTCCAAATTTTGAAATTTATTGACCACATATAAAGCTAATAAAAAAAAAAGAAACAACAAAGTGGTAAGGGGGCAATAACATGGGAGTTGTTCGAAATTTTTGATGAAAATTTGGCTACCAAGGCAGACATTCAGCCACCAGTAAACAGATTGGGTACAATTGAAGATATATCAGGCTATAAAGAAAACACTGACAAAATTTTAATCAATAGTCCAGTTCCATTCAACCTGATAATAAGCAAGGATTCTCTAGTGAAAAACCTATTGTTGCAAGAAAAAGGGTTATTTCATAAAGTATATCTCAAACAAAAGCTGGATGTTGATAAAAACGTTAAGGAAAAAAAGATAAAAGGCAAATCGGTTATTCTTTCAGGCTTGAAATCTGTTTTACTTTCAATTTCTAACTATTTCTGTAATATTAATAAAAATCCTATTATAAGAGAAATTATTCAGTCTCTCCTTACTCTTCATAATTCTAAAATTAAGATCGTTTTTATCTGGGTTAAAAGTCATAAAGGGATAGTTGGAAATGAAAAAGTCGATTTAGCTGCTAAAGAATCCATTCTTCCAACTATTAGTAATATTCATTCTCCGTAGGATATTATTCATGCAATGAAACGAAATATTAGATCAAGCTGGGAGAAACTTTGGGAACACTTTGTTTCTGATTCAAATAACCCATATACATTTATTCACCCTGTTCTTCCAAAATCTATTCCCCACATTACAAATTTTAAAATGTCTAGGTATTATTGTACCACTTTAACAAGGATGAAACTAAATCATGGGGGTTTTCCGTCTCACCTTTCCAGAATTGGTATTAATATATCACCTTTCTGTCAATGCGACAATTCTTCTTTTGCTGATATCAACCATCTCATTTTTTCTTGTAGCCACCATAATTCTCATCGTTCAGATTTTCTTAAAAAACTTCCCTGAATATCCTTTTTCCATCAAGTATTTCAATTTTATTAAGTTCATTTAATGAGAAAATATATAACTTAATTATTGAATTTTTAATTAAAGAAAATATTAAAATATAAATAAACAAAAAATTATTCGGTTTACAAAAGTCTGTGGAAACAAAAACTACGTTTAGATGCCAATTCTAAAATAAATAAAAGAGATGAAAAATGGGAAGCTAAGAAATTAATGAAAGAACGAGAGGTACAGGCATTAGAAAATATTGCCAAAGCCCTAACTGTGGAAGTAATTCAAAAAATAGCGATTAGGTGTTGGTTTTGTTTGTACAAAAAATGTCAATTGTTTTTTTTGTGTACATCCAACTAGTTATAATGTTTACCAAACATTTGTTTTATTTTAATCAGAATCAAGATATTTTAGAGACTTTTGAGAAATGTAATAAAATAAATAAAAATCTTTTTTTTTACTTGAGTATTTTTTATAAGAATTGAGTACCTGAGATAGAGAAGGGACAATTTCACACAAATGCAATATTAGTTTGTTACTGTTCAAAACAGTTTTAAAATTAGAGTAGTTCGAGCATCAGATGTTAACTTAATCCAATAAAGCTTCAATTTTCTCAAAACTTTGGTTTTGTGGAATAACCCCTTCTCTATCTTGGGCACTCAATTGATTATGAATTAATAAAATAAAAAAACTTATTATTGGAACATATTATTCATGATTTTATTTCTCAACTGTGCTGCTTCTGCATCATTTACTGAACCCGGCCACCCAAAATAAATATCAATAAATTCTAGCATTACATACTGCCTGCAAGATCATAGAAGATCCCAACCTATTGTTATAGGAATTATCGGCAAGTGGACCTGGTATACCTATGTATGTTCCATCTACACAACCTATAATATTTTTAAAACTTCTGGGTCCCCGAAGTGAATCAAATTCAGCTATTGTTTGTATGGCTAATTCGCCAATTGGCCACTTAATACCTATATGTTTTGACTTGTTTTGAAATAAATTTACAACAATTTATAAAGATTGTATGCATATGGCCTTTATTCAACCTAAAACGGTCGCCAACTGATCTAAATGACTCTTCTGTAGCCAACAACCATATAGTTGCTAATAAACCATGCAGGAATGGAATTGTCGGTCTTCCATATAGAGTCAACTTAGTAACTTTAATATTTATCATAAGTTCCTAAAACATAATTGTCCAGTAGTTATTTATATTTAAAAAAATCTCTAACTAAGGTAAAGTGGGGTAAGTGCGGTCACGTTTCTTGATAGTATAAAATATTTTTATCATAGAATCTAAACGGATACCTTAGAAATGCCGCACTATTTTTTTTTAGATCTCTTATGATACTACCATTATAGAAAAAATTATAAATTAATAAAGCTAAAGGTTTATAAGATTATCTAGTTTTTTTTTTATGTTGTTTAGTCGGTGATTGCACTTTCCCATAAAAATGGAGAAAGTGCAATCAACAATTATTTTTGCCTTTGAAATGCATACAGATTAACAGGGGTTAGTGTAATCAATTTAAGAACGATTATTTTAAGCGCAAAAAATGATATTTTATTTTAAATCAAAATAATTATGGCATTAACAAAATTTTTACCACTACTACAAAATAACCTAAGTACTAAATGTTCTTTCTAATAAATGACTACAAACTTCATAAATATTGCCGTAAAACATTTTTAGAAAAATAAGAAATACATTCTTGGCATAAAAAATAATACTACAGTTAACGGTTAAATACTAAAAATATAAAAAAAAGCAACAAAGTAAGCATTTACTTATTAACATTAAGTGCAGATACTAAAACTCAAAGTAAAAACGACTCCTTTTTTCTTTTGGACCGGCAAGTATTTTTATAATTTCCTTCAGAGATATAATATTCTTGGCCATCAAGGGGTTTAGTTTGCCGTAAAAATGTTGCGTAATAATTAAAGTTTTCAAGCACTTCTAAAATTTTGCCAACATACGGTTTTTTAGTTTTTTTCGTATAAAATTCTACCAAAACGAAGTCTCCTATTTTGGGTACTGCATCATGTGTGCGATCTTGGTTTTTAATTTCTGAGTGTATGTCTTTGTTTTCGACTAGGTTATTGTCTGGTTTCGGTTTGAACATTATGTTCTTTTGTTGGCTGTCTATGTTCATATTTTCCTGTTGTTTGTCAATGTTTTCGGGTGTGTTTTCAGTCTCCTTGTTTATCATTTCTGATTGCAAGCTTGTGTTTTGTTGTTGTTCGTCCGGTACGTTTATTTCATACTCCATATTCTTTGACAATTTTTGGGTTCTTATGGTTTTAGCCTGTACGACTTAGTTATGTGTATCTTCAAAAATGGAAAATGATTCGGAATCATCATCCGTATCCATATATTCAGGTTCTGATATATCACTTTCCGAATCGGAATTATTATTATAATATGTTTGTTTCTTTGGAGCATGTATAATTTTCTTTACTATTTCTTTACCTATTTTTGACTGGCGTTTTTTTAAATCATTCTGAGTTTCTTGTTTGTCCAAGGATGTTATAACCTTTGCTCCTTTTGCTATGCGCTTCCTTGTTGTGCTAATGCTAGTTCCAGGTCGATTGTTTTTAACTGTATCTAATAAAATATTCTCAAAAGAAACTGTATAGTCTTTAGACGTCCCTGGAATTTCATCATCTGCTCTTTCATTTTGATATCTATTACCTGGATTTTCATGGGGTTGTTCATTTTCTTAATTTTCTTGGGAGTCATTTTGACTTGTTTGCTTATTTTTATTCAGAGCTTGAAGATCTTCATAGCGGTTTAATGCTTGATTATCAAATTTTTCCTTGGGCACTACAGATCGGTTAAAGGGAAAGATCCCAGCTTTCCTAAATGCACTAGAGATTACTGCATGTGATAGTAATATTTAAAACTGTTTTTTCGGAATTCTGGAGCCACTATGTTTTCTTTGCCAAACGCATAGTGGAGCAAGTGGCTCGTGTGTGGAGGTAATTTAAGAATGGTAACATCATGATCTATTGCAAGAGTAATAACTTTTTCTGTGACATGAGTTGCGTGTCTATCATAAATAAGCAATACTGGACGCTCATCACCCAATTCAGGAATAAGTGTTCTTTCTAAGTAGTTATAAAAAATCTCAGTGGTGATCCATCCATTCTTGCTCGCTGCGTATGACATATTTGGATAGCTTTCTTCGCGTTTGTCTGGAATCCAGGTGGTCCAGACGTTTAAACCTTTAAATATCATAAGAGGTGGTGCCTTATTTCCAGTTGCGCTTACTGCAGCCAAACAAGTTATATTTTCCTTTCCGCTTCCTCCAGTTGTACGAGAACAGGATTTTCCTCTTTGCCCAACGATTTTAGTTTTCAGATGGGTCGGTACAAACACTTGTCTCATCTAAATTCCAGATCAAGCCTGGTTTATCAAATAAATTAAGAACTTCGAGTTGTTCGTGTAGAAGATCAAAGTATGTTTGAATGACAAATGGATCAGTCATCTTTTTCCTTGAATATTCAACTGGTTGAGGCTTTTTTACTGACACACCATGGCGTTTTTTGAAATTCAGGAACCAGTCTTCTCCGGGCCTTCCATTGCTAAATCTATTTTCTACATTATTAACTTTAACAAATTTTTCAACGCAGTCAAAAACTTCTACACGAGAAAGGCCGAATCCCCATTTTTCCATAATTTTAATATAATTAGCCAATTTGGATTCTTCTTCCTAAGAAAGAGCTGGAGGACGACCTCCTGTAGTACTTTTAACCCTGCGTCTTCCAAAAATGTAAGATTGAAGGGTACTAAAAGGGATTTTGTAAAGTTTTGATGCTTTTCTTATATTTATTGTTCCAGATTTAATCTCGGATAATGCTAATTTTACGATATTTTCATCATGACTTCCGCTTGCAGTTTTTCTTTTATAGTTGCGTACCATGTTAATGCTTTACCTGAAAGAAAAAACTCCTATAACCAAATATGAAAAAAAATATATGCATCTAGGAAAAGTGCAATCATTTGACGGGAAAGTGCAATCATTTGATCACACTTTCCTATTCCATATTTATTGCAGTTACTCCATTATTGAAAAACTAATGGGGCTAGTGTAATCAGTAACAAAACATATTTTTTTTTCAATCAAAATAGATGTAAATTATATTTTTTATCAATATTACTCAATAATAAACTGCATCAAACGTAAAATATTTATCACATACCTGCAAAAACATCTATTTCCAAATTTTATTTATGGCGACGCACACTCTGATTCTAACCGACAGCAACAGCGGATAATTTGGAACTGGACCGTCTTGCTTCAATACACTGCAGCGTTGCCGGATTGAGGCATTAACTTACGGATGGCATATGTTTGTGGTTGGAGATCGCCAGGTGGACTTTATTGAACTTATAGTCGCACATTTGATAAAGATTGCAGTTACCCCGAAATTGCACTTACCCCACTTTACCTTATATTTGACAGATATTTACTTATTAACATTAAGTGCAGATACTAAAACTCAAAGTAAAAACGACTCCTTTTTTCTTTTGGATCGGCAAGTATTTTTATAATTTCCTTCAGAGATATCAGCGAACGATCCTCTATGTTAGGAAAAATATAATATTCTTGGCCATCAAGGGGTTTAGTTTGCCGTAAAAATGTTGCATAATAATTAAAGTTGCCGGATTGAGGCATTAACTTACGGATGGCATATGTTTGTGGTTGGAGATCGCCGGGTGGACTTTATTGAACTTATAGTCGCACATTTGATAAAGATTGCAGTTACCCCGAAATTGCACTTACCCCACTTAACCTTATATTTGACAGATATAAAAAAATTAAAATGACCTCTACAGAGGATCTACTTAGTCGAAAATGCGATATAAACTCCATTTCCGATAAGTTATTAACTACATCTAATACAAAATTTTGGTTTTTCATATCGTTCAGTTGGAAAAAGAGGGTTATTTTTTAAAAACAATAATTTTACAAAAGAGCAAAAATTTAACCCTTTCGTACCTGAATATGAAAAAATAAAATTGAAAGTTAAATTTACGGTTAATTTGTTGAATTTTTGTCAACTAACTACACTTCACTATCAAAAATAATTTTTTTCGACAGGGCAGGGGGAGGGGAGGAGACGGTACATATGTGTACCATCAGGTTTTTAACTTGGTACAAATATGTACCACCAGTTACCAAATCATAGAAACAAAAAATATTCATTTATTGAACAAAATTAAAATGGTTTACAGATTTGCGGTATTACAGAATAAAATCTTTGTTAGTACAACATAAAAACAACTCAAGTAAAAAAACAAATAGACACAGAAATAAACCTACATTATTTTCTCACACACTAAGCTTCCAAAAACTTTTAGGAAAACTTTGTGTGATACAGTGAGAAACAGTCTTTGCATAAAGGTATGTTACATTCTTGACAGAGAGTCTTAGTCCTTTTTTGATGTTTCTCTCTTGAGCATCTTACACACCTTCTTCTGGTTTGTCCTTCCACGGGAAGGTGTAAGGGCGTGGTTCCATACAGTTTTCTTTTTTTGGAAACAGGGCCCTTTTTAGGAGGTGGTAAATTAGTATTTTTGATACCTTCTGCTACGAGTTCTTCAGCAAGGTTTACCAGAAATGGCAGAAAAGCAATCTTTCCGTTTTCACGCCTCAGGTCGTTATATATAATCCATGCATTCACGGCACACATACTGAGGCATGTGTACCATACTTTTTTCCACCATTTCGCAGATTTTCTGTCGTGATCATAGACTCCAATCATCTGATCCGCTCTATCAACACCTCCCATTTTTTGCCTATAAAATGATATGGCTTCTGGGCAATCAATCACTTGCTGCTCTCCGGTTTTTGTTTTCTTTTTTATGGTGGTAACGTCAGGTTTGTGGCAATTACTCATCAATAGTACCTCTTTGGTATCTTGCCATTTGACACACAACAGCCCACTATTTGTTGTCCTGAATTCAGACTCTCCACGTTTTAGTTTACCCCTTATTTTAGGAACGTTTCTTCTATTGGTCATGCAAGTACCAAAAGCGGGGAAATCTATGGTTTCCAATAAATTTAGACTAGTAAAGAAACGGTCGAAGCATAGAACTACATCTTGAGATTTGATAGTTGATGCTAGTGACTTCACAACTCTTTCTCCAAGGGTCAAAGCTTCATCTTGATCTGTTGTAGTTGATACTTTACCGGAGTATACATTTATATCATAAGTGTAACCTGAATGAGCATCACAACGAAGCCACAACTTGATGCCTCGTTTTGTAGGTTTTAGAGGCATATACTGCTTCAAAGACGAACGTCCTTTGAATTTAGTCATTGACTCGTCAATGCTTTGAAACTGACTATCTTGGCGACATTTACTAAATGTGTGTGTGAGGCATGACGTTAGGTCGTCCACATAATACGTTTTAGAGGGAATTTCTGGTTTTTCTGGGGGTGCAAAGTACATTTTTGAGGACAAGAGCATATACCGATCACGTGATATCGTTCTTGCAATAGTTTCATTTCCCATTGACTTCTGCTGACTCCAGTAATGTTTCAAACCGGGTAGTTTATTATAAGACATCACAAACATGCATCCTATTACTTTTTGTATTTCTCCTTTATCAGTTTTTTTTTCAATTCGTTTTTTGGTCTTATTTAGAATATCAATTCGCTGATTTGTACAGTCCACTATATGGAGATGAAAGGGGAAATATTTTATGAAAAACGTCCATTGGAGTCATATTTTTATTTATTTCTTTGTGAACTGCAGCAGATCTTTGAGGGGGTATAATTTTTGCAGAAGTGAATGAGGCAGTCGGCAGTACCCATTCTATAAGCCGATTTTTATTATTTGGAATTTGCATTACCTGTTCTGATTCTGACTCACTTCCTAAATTTGCTACGCTCCAAGGGCCGTAGCGAATGAACAAAAATATTCTTTCTGACCTACACTATCTTCCTTGGACTTTTATTAAATTGTTTAAGTTAAACGGTTAAATATTGTTAAATTAAAGCGTTATCTTTGACCAAGTTACTGGTATATTTTACTCATAATCTGGTTACAAACATTGGTGTCATTTAGTGAATGAGAATTAGCCCACACACAGCAGAAACAATGCATAGAAATAATAAATAAGAACAGTCTCACCCAGTAGTCACTTTCAGCAGCAATGGTCGAATACTGATGGTGCATAGGTGGCTTAACACCAACTTCCTCGAGTGATCCTCTGGACTCAAAGCGACCGGTCAATTCTGTTCGACAGTCGACTCTAATA